CCGTGCGCACAGCGAGCGGAGGGACAGCAGGGAACATCTGAGGGACGTGGCCGATGAACGTAAGGAATGGAAGTAGGTCAGCTGGAAAAGACCTTGTTTCAAATCGAGCTGCTGCGATGCCGTAATAGACCGTCTCACGGGGTGACTTGGTCGTTGTGGTGTGGGCACCAGTGTGACGCTTCCTGGAGTGGGGTGTTGCTGCTGACGGGGCGAGGACTCGCTGGGTTAGTTATTTAGGCTGCTGGCTGTGTTACCAGAGTATCTGAAGAACACCAGCACAGTGGTCCTTGGGGCTGATGGTGGCATTCGTTTCATAAATGGTACAAAAAAAGGAGTTCATCTTGTCTTAAAAAAAAAAAAAAACCCCACGAATTTTAGCCCGCCCCTTTTCCTTCTTAAATTTAATAACCCCCCCCGCCTGTGGCTGTCCTGGGTGTCACGTTGCAGCAGGCGGGAAGGTGACGGGAGCTCTGGCTGGAGCAGCTGCAGCCGCGGTGATGTGGAGCCGCACGCGTGGGAACAGCACCGGTGTCTGCGTACGTACACGTGGGCCTCGGCCTCGGCCTCTCCGTGAGGCTTTTCCTCCTTCCTTCGGAAGTGAGGCGCTCCCCTGCTACACCAGCGCATGTCCAGGGGACCTGGGCTTGCGCTGTGGTTCCCTCGAAGGCTCCTGTGCTTTCTGTGGCCGATTCGATGAAGGAACAAGGGTTTCCCACGTGCAGCAGCAACTGCTCCGCTCCTCCCGAGGGAGTGCGGTGTTAGGACCGGAGCTGCATCTAGAGAGCAGGACTGGTCCAGCAAAGAAAGCTGTTGTGTTTTACTGTGATGTGCTCTTCCTGTAGAAAGACTAAAGGTCCCAGAACCGAGCCTGGGAGCTGGTGGCTTCGGCTCTAGACTCCGTGTTTGCGAGGGCCCACCTTGGGGAAGTACCCGCGTAAGAACAATGACGTGGTCTAAAACAGAAGCACAAAGTGGTTTCTGACCACGAGTTTGTCTGAAGGTCGGTATCTCGTGTTTTGGAATGTCTTTTTATGTATTCAGATTCTCTAGTTTATTTTGGAAGATTTTTTAGTAATGAACTTAGAGTAACTGGTAAGTTTGGAAACTTTGACTCCCCCAGGTTTAAAATTAGCATCTTCGTAAGCAGCAAAACTGCTTCCCAGTGTTACCCCGAACACAAGTTCCCCAGAAGACGGGCCTCCTGCCAAGGAATTTTTGTCTATTTACTCTTGGGCAATTCTGTGCTTAACAAAGCCAAAACGGGAACGTGTGTGCTGTCATCCAGGCGACAGCCTGTGGCTGGTCCAGTCAGCTCTGCTTGCAGGTGGACTGGGAACCTAAATGCAGGAGGACCTGACCCTTTCCAGTCACGCCTTCTGGTTTTGGGGGGAACAGTGTGCATTTTCATCTGTTTAAGGCACACGTGAAATCCTAAGAGAGCTGCCCTCGTCAAGGGTTTATTGATGTGAAACAGAAGATGTTTTCAGTAGCCTTGTTTTAGCTAAGTATGTGTAAGTGATGAGTATTGCTGAAATACTTCAGAGTTCTAAGCTGCTTTAGTGGGTATAGTTTGGAATAAAGCTGTCCTCTTTGAATCATTTAGTATCAGTGCAAAGGTACAGCATGAAAGCAGTTTTCTTTTCCTCACTGGAAGTTATAAAGCACAGAAATAGGCGTAGATTTGGGTGCTCCCCCCTGCCCCTGGGTTAAGAAAAGCCTGCTTATCGCATTAACCGTGTTCTCCTGCTGTTTAAAGAACAAAACAAAACAAAGAAACCCCAAAACTTGGTGCTCGGCATGGCTGCGAGACCTGCGTATCTCGGCGCGCCAGGCTGGGGCGAGCCCTGGGGTGGCCACGTCTGGCGGGTCGCTCCTCCGGTGACGCCGAGCTGGCGGGTGCCCGTCCCCGGCTGCG